AGCCTTTGGTTTCAAACCACACTTGTAATATATTTCAAGAACGAGGACCGGAGCCCCTCTGGTCTCTCTACCAAAGCTTCTGGTTTCTCGACCAGAGCCTCTGATTGCACTACCAGAACTTCTGGTTTAAAAGACAAGACCAACCAGAGCCCCTCTGGTATGTTTTTCATAAAAATATTCTAAGTATAAAATTCTTTGAATTATCTTTTTAAAAATGTAAATTTGACACAGAGCTCGTTTCTTACAAATACAGAGCCTCTGGTTTAACTAAAACTTTGTAAAAGACTTGTATAAATTTCAACCCATTATCCAGAGCTTCTGGTTCTATATTGAGGTCCAACCAGAGCCCCTCTGATTCCTTATAAAATGAACATTCGTATCCAAAACACTTTTAACCAWAACCAATGACCATAGGCCATATTTTCCCATAACCATAACATCAATACTACTATTTCCAATAAGAACATCTCTGAATCCTCAAATCACCAAGAAGAGAGAACTCCAATCTGTTGTAATCTTATTAGATATGATAGCAAGAGTTATACCATGCACACACACACACGACCATCCTTATTACTTCCATCAATCCCCTGTTTATAGCAATAGCTATCCATCACACACAACGACCATCCTTATTTCTCCTGAAATTCATATGAACTATTTCATCCAATGACAGGCTGCAGACCTTTTTGTCAGAGTGAACCTCATTCATAGTTTTATCCAAAATCTATAGACTATTTCATCCAATGACGGAACAAAATCACATACGTCAGAGTGAACCTCGTCTATAGTTTTAACCAAATCATATTCTCAACACAAACACAGGTTTATATTCAATCCTTTCAATCCATAAGAACAATCTGTTCTTCATATGATTTCTCAATCGTCTGTTTTTGCTTAATCCTCAAAACAAAATACCAAATCCAAATTGTTCCTTCAAACACAGTTCTTGCTCAATTCATAAAACAGTTTCTTTTAAAAACCGTTTAAACACTTCTACTGGATTCTTTTAAATTTAAACTCATCAATATTCCATAATTTATAAATCAAACAATAGATAAAACTCACAATTTCTAATCGACGGTAGTTTAAAACTCACAGGTTATATCAAAACAGTAGTTAAACTCACAATTTCTAATTGACGGTAGTTTAAAACTCACAGGTTATATCAAAACAGTAGTTAAACTCACCTTAAAATAACAGATTCTGCAGATTATCACGCAGCAAATCACAGAATCTTTAAAAAGCGATATTCTTCAAGAATATTTTTCAAGAACACTTTCACCGTCTTTTAATTTCTCTTGTATATTTTGTAAAATAGTGAACTGATAAGGTCCTTTTCCTTATCCTCTTTGTTTTATACATAGGATGAGGCAGTGGTAAATATCTTTCAATATAAAATCATTTAGGCGGTGGAAAGATAAAATTTTATAATCAACCTTTCTTAACCATGAAGGTTTGGATTATAATATTCCCACATATTATTATCATATAACCGCCTATAAACTTCCCACATGCATGCATAATATCCAATTACCACACATGTGCACGTAATTCATGCATTTAAGACAACATGCATGCTATCACATAATTCACATAATGAACATATAAATTTACCTCAACCCAGGTTTGCAGAAAACCCAGTTATAACACAAATTTTTGTGTTCTGGATGTCAACATCCTTCAAATTATTTGATCAGCCATGAGCCATCAGAGTTTGTTGAATCATAGTCTTAAGTCTTCCGGTCATTCTAATGAAGAAAGTGAAATCATGATGTGGCATTTTCGTCTAGGTCATCTCAAGTTTTCATATTTGAAACGTTTGTTCCCGTCTCTCTTCATCAATAAAAACCCCAAGTTATATCTTTGTGAAGTTTGTCAAATGGCCAAACATACTTGTAATACATACTCACCATGATCATACAAACTAAGCCACCTGTTCTCCCTTGTTCATGGTGACATTTGGGTGCCAGTCCGTATTCTAAGCATAACAGTGCTAGATGGTTTTTGTTGTTAGTCAATGACCATACTAGATTGTGTTGGACATTTCTTATGAAAGACAAAAATGAAACCAAACACATATTTCAACACTTCCATGCCATGGTTCAAACTCAATTCAGTACTAAAATTCAAATCTTAAATACTGATGTCTGATAAGACTTCTTTAATTCTATTCTTGGTTCTTATCTCCGATCACATTGTCTTTTCCAACAAAGTTTGTGTGCCCATTCGCCACGACAAAATGGTGTGGACAAACGTAAAAGTCGTCACATTCTTGAGGTCGCCCGATCTTTACTTTGCTAAGTAAATGTTCCTATAAGATTCCAGGATGAAGCTATTCTCACCGCAACATACCTAATCAACCCACATGCCCTCTCGAATCCTTGACTTTCACTCACTATGAAATAACTTCCAAGGTTTGATTCCTACTTTTCACATCTTGTGTCTCAAGTCCCTTTCAAGTTGTTTGGTTGCATTGCATTCGTGCATGTCTACCCTCAATTATCATGGTAAACTTGATTCCCATGCACTTAAGTGTATCCTACATGGATACTCGGCCAATCAAAAAGGCTACAAGTGTTTCTCTCCAACCACTCGTAAGTTCTAATAATACCACAGATGTTCCTTTTTTGAAGATATTCCATTCTACTCCAATTCAATTTAGGGAGAGAATCACATACATGAATTTCAAAATTGTACCTGTTCATACCTCATCTCAGATTCACCAACTCAATTTCACTGAACGTTAGCTCCATCAAATATCTCTAGTACTCCAACTTCTTCGGATCCGAACTAAACCCAACCTGTTTCTCAATCCTCTGCCTCTCAGTCAAATTCTGTACCCGATCAGTCACCGAATGTCTATCCCAAACACCTTCTTCCTGATGATGTTGTCAAAGTTTATAAAAGACGGAAAAAACCAGACATGCCTGCAACAAATCAGCAAAGTCAAGAAACTTCCCTAGGCCAAGTTGGACAAGAAAACATACAAGATGAAGGTCAGTCAGGTTTTAGATGTAACCCTAAATTGGATCTTCCCATTGCCTAAAGAAAAGGAATCTACTCATTCACCTAACATCCCCGTTGCATCTTCTCTCTTACAAAAATCCACGTAACATCCCGTTGCATGTCCTCTCTTACAAAAATCCATTTCCATAATTATGGGCATTCATGACATCCCTAGACAGTCACAATACCCCAACACAGTTTTTAAGGATTCAGAAATGGCACGAATCAACCTTAGAAGAATATACTGCTCTTGCAAGGAACTGCACCTGGGTGTTAATTGACCTACCACCTGGAAAGAAGAAGACATTAAGATGCAAATGGATCTTCTCAGTTAAACAGAAGGCAGATGGGAGTATAGATAGATACAAATCCCGTCTTGTGGCTAAGGGGTTTACTCGGTCATATGGAATTGATTATCTAGAAATGTTTGTTCCTGTAGCTAAGGTTAACACAATTCGTGTTTTATTGTCCATTGTTGTTATTCAGGACTGGCGACTATTCCAACTTGATTTCGAGAATGCGTTGTTGAATGGAGATCTGATCAAGGAAGTCCATACGAATATTCCTTTTGGATTTGTTAACAAGAACAGTGGGAAGTCTGCAAGCTGAAGAAAACATTATATGGACTTAAACAGTCCCCCAGAGCATGGTTTGACAGGTTTACAAAGGTCCTTAAAAACGATGGATACTCCCAAACTCAAGCAAATCATACATTGTTTGTCAAACACTTCCCAGATGGGAGAATCACTGCCCTAATACTAATAGCGTATGTTGACGACATAGTTCTCACAGTAAACCATCAAGAAGAAATGAGGAGGCTCAAGATACTACCATAAAAAAAGTTCGAGATTAAAGACCAGGATCTCTAAAATATTTTATGGGAATGGAAGTGATAAGGAGCAGTCAAGGTATTTCAATTTTCCAACGCAAGTATGTGCTAGACCTTTTGCGTGTGACGAGCATTATCGGGTGCAAACCAATTGAGACCCTTATGGATCCTGTTATCATGCTAAGGCCACAAATGAATTGGTAGATGATAAGGGACAATATAAGTGGTTGGTTGGTAGGTAAGCTAATATATGCAACTCACACACGCCCTGAATATGTTTTGTTGTCGGCATTGTGAGTCAATTCCTTGGCAATCCATCTATTGATCACTTGAAAGCCATGGACCATATCCTAAGATATTTGAAAAACGACCTGGGAAGGGACTCATGTTTAAAAAATCTGTCATCCGGATGTTCGAACACTAGAAGTGTATGCATGTGCAGATTGGGTGAATCTCAATGTAATGGAAGATCCACATCAGGATATTGCTCATTCATTTGGGGAAATCTTGTGACATGGTGCAATAGCCTCTTGGCATTTGTGAAAGAATTTGGTACCAAACGAACTCAAGGTTGGAACCTTGAACTTTGTCAGGATCCAGATCGGCAACAGTCAGCAATTGGAGTTGCCAAAAATCCTATCCATCATGGACCGTACCAAGCAAAGTTGTTAAAAAGCCCAAGGCGCACTTAGGTGCAAAGGAACCTGGGGCCTAGGCGCAAGCATGATGTGCGGGCCTAGGAATGCCAGGCGCATCTTATATAATATATATATATATATATATATATATAATATACATATGCACATAGTTATAGACAACTCAAATAGCATTCTATAAAACATAGTTCAATTTCAATCTCAAAGAAGTAATAATTTCAAACGTATCTCAAAAAGTCTTGACTAGTGCCTACAATGCAGCAAGTACAAGCCTCCAATGTAGCAACCATAAGAGAGAAGGGTTTAAAGCCCTGAGGAAGAAGTTTTGGGTTTTAAAGCCATGAGGGAGAAGTTTATGGTATGTGACGAATTTATAGGGAGCAAGTTCTAGGGTATGACAATTGAATAGACTTATTTAACATTAGGACTTGATCTAATAACTCTTTCTTGTAGAAGTGTAGGAGATTATAAGACTTGATTAATATTAGGGTTCGACTTGTTTAATAACTCTCTCTCTTGTAGAAGTCTAAGAGACAAGGAAGTTATTTAATAGTACGGTTTGTATGACTGGTTTTAGAGAAATCTTCACAAGGCGTGCCTAGGCCCATACGGCGCCTCAGCCAAGGCCCAGTGCCTTAGTGCGCCTCGTCAATACGCCTCGCCTCAACATCCAAAAAGCCCACAAGCTTGCACCTTGGCGCGCCTCACAACTATGGTGCCAAGCATGTGGAGATTGATAGACACTTCATCTATAAGAAGATCAAAAACAAGACAATCTCAATCACACATGTGCCGTCCAAGCGGCAAGCAGCTAACGTTCTTACCAAAACTTTATTTCGGCCCAGTCTCATTACCTTAAGTTCCTTGGTTTAGAGAACATATATTGCCTTGCTTGAGGGGGAGTATAGGAAATCAAGCTAGGGATAGATATTTTATTAGCTAATTCTTAGGGATCAGTTACATATTTTGTTGATTCTCTATTTATTAGATAGGATTTGTATTCTCTCTTAGATGCTGATTTATAGGGGTCATTTATATCTTATAGTCTGATTTATAGGAACCCTTTAAGGGTTGTTTGCATATAATTTGTACACTGTATTCAAATTTCAGTAGAAGCTTTTCACACATCTCAAACAGCTTCAAGGTTTGCAGGACTCTCTTGGATGTTTTAACAAATTTTAGGACAATTTTGAAATTAAACGTTCTATTAATTTTTTTACAACATTGGTTGAAAAAATTATAAAAACAAGTGTCATATGAAAAATGTTTTTATAGGACACTTCTCAAAATTGTTTTATAAAAACTAATAGGACACTTTATTTCAAAGGTGTCATAGTAAACTTGTTAAGACACCAAAAGCATCATATAAACTTATTGCAACACTTTTATATATGACACACAATTATTGGTCCTAAAAGCTCAAGTCTTATAAACCAGTTTATTAGGACGCATTAACATTTTTGGCATCCTATAAGAGTGATTTTGTTGTAGTGTTTCATAGGTTCAAACTAATGAGTTGATGTGTGTTTTGGGATATCAGGTGTATCTGCTGCATTGAATGAGCTACGGCCCTGTGCCCCAATAAGTTTTAAGCATATTCTTGCCCAAGAGTTGGTGAAGGGACTGCGCACTGTTTCTGATTCTTTATTGCGATACAATACCACCAGGGTGCTTAGGGAAAACGAGTCTGCCCTTTTCCTGTCATTATGCCGAGCATTCATAGAGGTAAACTACCACCAAAACCATGTTTCAGTCTTCATTCTACATAAAAGCTAATTTAACGTTGTACTCGCCCTACTCCAATAAAAACAGGACAGGACAAAAACCTGTTGTCCCATGTTTGGTGCCACATTATGACCGGATCAGGATATGACTAGGATTGAGTGGACAAACCAAAATAGGAGGAACAAAAATCAGGGAGATGAGACAAGATTGGTAAATTACCAAACCACCCATGTCAAAAAAAAACCGTGAAACCTTGTACAATTCTTTCACTAGCGTACCTCACTCTGACCCGTATTGTCCAGTCCCGTCTAGTCCTGTGCGTGTACGAAATGCTGATCTGGAACTTACCACTTTTCAAACACCACTCCAGCCCATCAGAACTGCAAACAATTCTGTTTTATTGGAAGCTTCGATATTGTATCAAAATAACCCCATTATCATATAGGAGTCCTTGGAGGCGACGGAGTAGGGGAGCTGATTGCTTGTAGGAGTGTGAAGTAGAGGGTGGGTTGGGTGAAGGGTCGGTACCTTTTGATAAAAAATAGCTTCTTTGGTGAGTTCTGTGTGCTTTTCGGCAATGTAGGCTCTAGTTTTTTTCTTTCAAATTTATGGCTTATCATTATGCTTTCTTAACCTTTCTTGCAAGCCCTGCTTCTTTTTGAAAACCACCCGTTTGTCCTAAGGGACATAGATAAGGTTTGTGCATCTTACCCCTACGCCCTACCTCTGGATGAGATATATTGGGTTTGTTTTGTTTTGTTTTGTTTGGTTTATTCTCGTCACAACTAAATATTTGGTATTCATTGAGTAAATATTTTCCGTTCTAAAAAATTTGATGATATCGAACCCACTCCACAAGGTTCCTCGGTTTTCGTTTATCGAAACTTGCTTTAAATGTTTCACAATAGTCGAACAATTGCCATGCCAAATGCGTAAAACTTTTACAAATTTTGCTTAAACACATGTACTCCTATAGAAATTATGGTGTAAAAGCCTTCAAATGAGTTTGTTTTATGGTATGATTCAGGTCGCATATCCACATTGTGCTACATGCTTTGGACGTTGTTACCCTGGAGGATCTTCCCTCATCATAGATAGCAAGCATTTGTTCGAGGGAATCACTCGCCTGTTGACTACATCTTCCTCGAGACAATTACCAAAGAGAGTCCAAAATACGGAGTCCAAAAATGTATCAGAAAACGGTAATCCACCTGCAGTTGAAAACGGAGATGTCAAAGGAACAGAGAATCGTAATGTGGTTGAGGAAGACGACCCAATTTCACAAACTCAGGAAAAACAAGATGAAGAATAAACACAAATGCCCTTCGGTTGTTGCTGTTGTTCATAAACGAAAGTTTCAGGCATCACGAATGCAAGTGAAAATGGGTATGGTAGTTTCTCTTTGTTTTTCCTTTCTTTCATGAGTTTATTCAATTTCTTTTGTATATGTATGAATTATGAATTTGGTAGTAGTTTATTGGTGTTTCTGTTGGTATTGTTGTTTTCCATATCAGAATGTAAATCAGACTGTTTGGTACCCTTTCTGACCAAAAGAATTTCACTTCTGGTTTTTGAGAATCAAACATAATATTTCCGGGATTTCAATCCGACATAAATTTATGGTTTTCAGTAAATTATGAATTACCTCTTTGAACTAGCTCGAAAACCGGTTAAGACTGAGACCTAGATCGGGATTGGTTACATTTGAATTGGTTGTAACCGGCGGGGTTATTAAAATTGATCTTTTCTCTATATAACCAGTGATGATTATTCTATTAAAAGGGTCGAAATAGTCTAAAAAGACCTTTTCACCCTTGTCTGCAAATCAAATGTGGGGGGAAGGCAAGCTGATGGTGTTAGTTTGAGAGACCAAAGATGAGTATACCATAGTGGCAGATTTGCAATAAAAAAAACCGCAAGGATCCTAACAAGAAAAATGACGTACTACATGACCAAAAATGAAGTTCATAAACTTTTTCTCACGCTTTTACATAGAATAGAACTACAAACGTAGAACAGATAGGTTAATTGATTTTGAATCAATCCAAAAAGGGCCCGGCTAAAAGAGGCTAGACCAAGGATGATTACAGATTGGTCCTAGATTTTGATCGCGGAATGGTCCTTCAACGGTTAAAAAGCCCGGATAAAACCTGAAATCCGGTTAAAGCCCAAATAAACAGGCTTAACACCTGCGAATTCATCCTGTATATTTTTCTAGTGCAATAAGATAGCATATTAAAGAGAGAACATTGAATTTAAAATATAATACTAAATGGATACTAAAAAATGCCTTAAATGTTTAATGGGAAAATGGATAAAATTTTGATAGATTTTCTAATTCATTAAAAGAAATTCTTTTTATTTACTCGTAACCTCTCTCCGTTCACTTATACCCGACATCTAGAAGGAAGAAAAGATGAACAAAAAGATAGGAAGAAATAGGAAGAAGAAGAAGAAGAAGAAGAAGAAGAAGAAGAAGAAGAAGAGATTGAGCGAAAGCAAAGAAGTTATTTTCAAATTTTTCAGCAACGCACATCTTTGATCATTAAGTTTGATCGACAAACAAGCTCGTCCGATCTAGCTTAAACTTTACAGCTAGCTTCCTAACTCATTGTTCTTCAATCTAAGGAATGGAGATTGGATTCAAATGAGTTTAGATATCTTTTTCAGACTTTTCAGAGTTTTCTGTTTGGTTTAGACCTGAAAAAAGAGCGATTTTTATAATTTTATATAAAAGTGGTTTTAAAACTAGTAGGAGGGATTCTGGATGGATTGAAAAGCATTGTTTTATAGTGTTGTTAGAGTGGATGTATTGATATAGACAATATATGGGTTGTTTAGGTGTCACTGATATAGACAATGTATGGGTTGTTTAGGTGTCAAGCCAGTTGTACGAACCACTTGGAGACTAGTTCTATGCAATTGAGTTGACGTAAGTTTAATTAATTTTTAAATGGATACATGTCAGACATATGTGTTTTGACAACAAACCTATGTTGTTTGCGTTTGAATGCGTCTTGTGAAAAAAATGCATATTTAAAAGGTGTTATGAAATTTGATTATTAAAGGCTTTACAAAAAATGTAATTAAATTTGAACATGAAACGAACGTGCTAAAATGATCATGAAGAACTATGTGGAATGTACTATGATGTATTGAAACTTGATTTCTACTTAAGCATATTTGATTTGTTCTGGGATATGTTGGATTGTGGATGCGCTAAAATATATAGAACGTGAGAAATTCACTAAATGATGTTTAAAGTTGGGGGTCGAAAAACATGTATATATATAGCTAATGGCAGGATGTTTAATAATAGATGTTTTAAGTTGGAGGTCCACTTATCTATGTATACAGACTTACGAGGTCACATGGCAATGCCTAAGTTAGCCAACAGTACTAATGAACTGCTTTGTGCTCCTTTATTTTCCGGTTATGGTAGGACTCCCCTATCTATAGATCAATATTATGATTAACGAGAAAGTAACTATTAAAAGGGATCATATGAGTCGAATGTAGCATTATGGAGTGTCTTTATGTGAGCCATGAACATTATGTCTACCCTCTATGACTGTTATACGAGGGATGTTTATATATGAATGAGTGAATTTGATATCTGTGTTTTTTCGTCAAATTTCACAAATATGACATGGGTAACCACATCTTTTATTGATTCTTAGTGAAAAGTAATATGTTGACTTGCACATTTATGGTATTCACATATCATGCATTTTGAAGAAAAAAATGAGTGAATTATATAAATTCGTTTGATCTTGATTGAATTTTTGATAATATAAAATTTTGAACTCACTGGGTGTGAATCCTAGTTTAATTTTTTTTCCGACATGTATTATAGGATATGAATTATGTATCATTGATATTTCTAGTGGAAGTAAGCATTGAAAGGTAATTTTGTTTGTTGACATTGTGTTTTTTACTACCATATCATGTAAAAAACATGATTGGTTCATGATGGTAGTTGGTGGATTTGTTATAGCTCCCTTTTGTATACGTTTGTAGATATTAGTTAGTATACGCAGTGCCAATGCTTGCTTTTAAATTGGGATACGTGAGGTAGGTCGGTCGGTCGGTCTGTAATTATTATTCTTAGGTTATTAGACATGCATACATCAACTTTATGAATGGATCATGCCAAAAATTTGGTACAAAAGTCATATAAATCTTAGGGTGTTATAAGTTGGTATTAGGGCGATGGTTTAAGAGAATTAGGTTGAGGACCTAGTTTCAAGTCTAGGATTATGCGCTTAACCTGAGGCCTGATCGGGGTCGATGAGAAATGGTGTGACTATAGTATAAAAGTTATCTGGGAGACTTAATAGTTAAGGGAAAAAAATAAGTGCCTATAGATGGATATATAAATTTCATCAATGATATTACGATAATCGTGTTACTTGATTATGGTGCAAATTGGTCATTTGTGTCTTTTAAGTTCTCTAAAAAATTTGGCATGCCAATTAGCTAGTTAGGTAAAGCCGTAGTTGTAGAGTTACTAGATAGAGGTCATGTAATTATACATGAGTGCTTTGGGAATTGTACAATAGAGATTCATGGCGTCAAGTTCCGGATTAGATTATTAGCAAAGGAGACCAGAGCATTCGATGTGGCCATGGGTACGGACAAGGACGATATATTATGTTCTTAAAAGATGATTCAGATTATAAGACAGAACAATGAGACAATGATTGTTTATGGTGAACAACGACCATGAGATATTGGGTTGATATTGGTGGCAAAACCTCGAAAGTGTCTTGTTAAGGGTCACTACTAATATTTAGCAGACTTGATCGATGTCGAGTTAAGAAGTAAAAATCTTAAGGAATTACGTTTTCTTTCTATGTTCCTAATGTGTTTCCTAATGACAAAATGGTAAATCCACCAAATCTCTAAGTTAAGTTTCTTATCGACTTAGTTCCAGGGGTTTCATCTATAGTTTGTATTCCTTATCAACCTAATTGCAAGAGTTTCTTGATAATGGATTTATTCGACCTAGTTTTCTACTTTGAGAGGTCCAAATTTTATTAAGAGGAAGATGGGTCATTGAATATGTGTTAGACCCAATAATTAACACGTGTAAAAGTAATGAAGAACAATAGGTGATGAAGAACCAGAAGACAGATGAAGACAAAAAGGCATAATTGACTAAGTCTGAAGAATAACCAGATGATCGATGAACAACCAGAGATGCCATGGAAAGAACATTTTCATCAGTCCTCTGGTCAACAACACTTAAGAGTTTTCTTCAACAATTCAACCAGAAGCATACGAAGAAGATATAAAGATAAGGTTGAATTATCATCCCATGAAAGACAGCTGGAGATGACAAATCAACAGCTGGATTTCAAGTTTATCTCAATTTATAGCTTATCCATAGTTTAGATAAACTAATGAATTAGTAGAAGATTAGCTAAATAGTCTCATTAGATAGTTATCTTCTAATTAGTCTTTTAGTATAAATAGGTGATTAGGCCAATTATAATCAATGTCGCTTTTACGTTTTCATATTGAATAAAGTGAATTTATTAGCACTCAAGATTGTTCTTTGAATGTTCATACATTGTTCTTGAGTGTTCATCATTTTGTTCATTGAGTGAAATCATTGGCACTCAAGATTGTTCTTTGAATGTTCATACATTGTTCTTGAGTGTTCATCATTTTGTTCATTAAACACTATAATTTGGTTATTCTTAACTCGATTATTAGTATTATTGAGAGATCTGGGATCAACAATTGGTATCAGAGGCTATTGATTGTTCTCCAATCAAACGATCATCTAAAATCTCTCAATTCACGTCTTTCACAAAACCTCTTCACGAAAAACGTAAATTTTTTCTCTTCTAAAAATCTCCAATGGCCAACTGGAACTCAGCCTACAGTGTTGGTTCCCTCACCAAGCCTCCAACTCTTCAAAGAGAAGAGTACCCACAATGGAGGATACGAATGGTGATTTTTCTTGAAGGGATGGACATAAATCTTCTGCGATCCGTCATGGAGGGTCCCTATGTTCCACAGACTCTTGTTCCAAGAGTTCCAGGAACAAATACAACAGCAGAAATTCCCGCCTACTACATGCCCAAGGACGAAAAAATTGGGATGAAGACGACATAGAGCGGGTTGAGACCGACAGAAAGGCCAAAAGACTAATAATTATTGTCATACCCAATGAAATCTTTCAATCCCTTGACGCATGTTCCACAGCCAAGGAACTATGGGATGAGCTGGCAAGCCAATTGGAAGGAGGGGCAAAAACGAAGAAGAATCGTAGAACTCAATGTCTCAACGAATACACTAACTTCAAGGCTCTTCCTGATGAACCGATTCAGAAGACGTATGATCGTTTCAACACATTGATCAATCAATATCGCCGAAACGATATCTCCAGAACAAAGGAAGAAAACAATGTTTTATTTCTTAAAAGTCTCGGCGATGAGTGAACACAACTGTCAATATCCCTACAAGCAAATTAGGACTTAGACGGCTGGTTACTCTATGACGTATACAGAACACTTGCTGCACAAGAGAACGACATCTTGAAGAAAAAGGTGTCCATCGGTGGACCCTTGGC